GGGAGATCGAATTGAATCCTCCGCATGCGTGTCTAAGTGTGGAAACTTTATTGTAGTGGGTAAGTTTCTGAATCTGAGGTTTGTAGAATTAAATTGAACACACACACACACACACACACACACACACACACACACACATATATTTGGGGACCAAGGCCCTGAATATAAGCTTAGCTCTGCATTCCTGTACTCTGTGACTTTGGCAGGTTGTTGGTCTTACAGTCTCACATTATTATGAAGAAAATGGAAACTAATAAAACATGATGCTGTGGAACACATGACATTGAAGCCTACTGACCCTCAGCTGAGTCCCTGGGCCAGGAATTGTGGAGGCACTTAGCTGATGATCGAGACCTCATGCTTCTGTAGGCACTAAAGGGTTTATGTGGCCTGGCAGATCTGCTTCCAAGATGGCTCGTATACAGCACCGTTCGCATAGGGACTCCATTCTTTGTTTTGTTTTGTTTTCTGAGAAGATTTAGGTTTTGCCGCATGAGCCCCTCTGTAACTGTCTGAAGTTTGCATGGCATCTGATTTCCCTCAGAGTGGGTGACCCCAAAGAGAGAGTTGTAGGAGCCACAGGGTACCTTTTAAAGACCCAATCTCTATAACTGGAGACTCATTTTTTTTTTGCTTGTGTTCATTAAACATAAATCACTAGGTCCAGTCTATGCTCAGTGGAGACAATTAGTCTCCATTTCTAGAAGAACATGTGAGAAAGTGTGGGTGTATTTTAAACCCATGACAACTATTGAAGAGTTCTGGGCAGGATTAATCGAGCCTAAGATTCATTAGTACACTGCAAGGCACAAACAAAGCTCTTAGAAAGTGATGGCAACACAGAAAGTATCTTGGAAATTGAATCTCCAGAGCAATGACCTGACCATGGGCAGGACTATGTAAAATGTAGGCAGTGAAGCCATCCTAAATGGCTGTCCTTAGATTCTGTCCACTTTGTCTGATTGTGTGTGCCCAGGTATCTGTAGTGACTTCACTTGCAGGCTTTTTACAATTTCTGCATCAAGGTCTGGGCTCCCCGAACTACCTTCTCATCCATGGCCACCACCTGGGAAAAGAAGTTCAGTGTAGTTACTAAGAATACTGGCTCTTAGATTTAAGTCCTGATACTGCCATGTGGTGTCTTAGAAATTTTGCCACTTTAGTTAATCTGCTTCCATATTGTCATCCATAAGTGTGGATATAATTATGCTAAAATACTTGAAAAAGTAGGCTGGGGATGTGACTCGAAAGGTAGAATGTTTGCCCAGCATGCTCAGGGCCCTAGGTTTGATTCTTAGCACTGTATAAACCAGGTGGTGTGATAATGCACACCTGTAATCCCAGCACTCAGGAGGTGGAAGCTGACGGATCAGAAAGTCTTCCCCAGTAGGATACCTGAGGCTAGCCTAAGCTAAAGGCCCTGTCTCACAAGAAAAAAGCCCTGATACATAGGAAGCGCCCAATGGACATAGGTTGTTATTAATGTTAGCTTTTCCCAAGTACCTCTGAGCATCTGTGTGAATTGTATGAGGGAGAATAACCTGGGGCTCTGTGACACTAGATAATTTATCCAGCCGTAGCCAGGATGGCTTTGAATCTAGTTCTGCCAGTGTGGGTGTATGTGCACTGTGAGGTCAGACACAACAAAGTCAGGATGTGAGGCGCCTTTACTGACTGTCTTGCTGGTCCATAGTCCTATTAAAAAAAACAAGGGACTGCTGGATGCAGAGATGTTCACCTGTATCTCCAGCACTCAGGAGGCTAAGGCCAGGCTGGGTTAAAGATATGTGCCACCACACCAGCACTAAATCGGGATTTTACAAGAGTGATTGCTGTTCAGTTTCTGCTTTAAACATAAAGCTAAATCACTGAAAGCTAAATCAGAGGTGTGAACATAAATACATAATACATAATAAGAGCATGAATATAAATTGTCATTTAAACTAAATATTTTGTATCAATATATCTCAGTCTTATCTGTTATATTTTGTTTCTCTCTAGGCTGTTATAATGGATTAGTTTATGTTCTGAAAAGTAATAGTGGAGAAAAATACTGGGCGTTTACTACTGAAGATGCTGTGAAAAGCTCACCCGCCATGGATCCTACCACAGGACTCATTTATGTCGGATCTCATGACCAGCATGTGTATGCTCTAGACATTTATGTAAGAATTCCCCTCATCAGGGTCACACCATGAACACAGAAGTACTTGAGTCTGGGAGAGGTGTTAATATAGCCCAAGTATAACATTTGGTCTGGAAAGAAGTGATAAGTTAAATATAAACATCTTTAGGCATTTTTGACTTCCTTTCAAATAATTTCTACAATATGCAGAACTTGGAATGATCATAACAGAAAAGTAATCAAAGATATTTTTTTTAAATAATCAAGAATCAAAACTCATTGGTATTAAGCAGAAATAAAGAGTAAATATAAGTTAATTAGAAAAACCCAGATAGAAAAAAAAGGGGGGGGCATAAACACAGGAGGAAGTTGGCTGAGGATGTAAATGTTGCAGGTCTTTAGTATTCAAAACAATGAAATGAGATTGATACAGCAACATATAGATTACAGTGCTACAATGACTGACAGTCTCATCCGTGAGAGAGGTAGCAGCCTGTGTGATAGGGAGGACAAAGGAAGACAGTTGGAGGGCTGGGGGTACAGCTCAGTTGGTCCAGTGCTTGCCCAGTATGCATGAATCCCTGAGCTCAGTGCCTCGAACCATACAAACTAGCTGGCATATGTGTAGTCCCAACACTCAAGAGGCTCATCCTTGGCTACATGCCTAAAAAAAAAAAAATAGGTGTTCTGTGATTCACAGACACACATGTGCACACGAACAGTAAGTAAAAGTAGTGTGGCTGTGTAAATCTCAAATTGGTTTATGTGGTTTCATCCTGGCAAAATAATCAGAACAGAGACAGATATATACACCAAGTTGTTCATAAGATTCAGTAATTGATGTCTAACAGTTTTTATTTTGAATATAGTGTATCAAAATTATTTTTAAGTCATTTTATAGAATCAGTGAAAGAAACATACCAAGTTGTGTGTTCAGAATGATTATATGCCCATGTACTCACAAACACACACGAACACGCAAGCACACCAGTTGATCAAAAGGAAAATGCTAATGTGTTATCAGTTATTAGTATCAGTGATACCCTTTGCTGCCCCTCTCATGGTGGGGCATGCCTGAAATCCCAGCACTGAGGAGGCAGAGGCAGGAGGATTCCGAGTGAGTGAGTAGGGAGGGCAGGGGAGAAGAGAAGAAAAACTTCATTGCTCTGGATGCTGACAGCTGCTCCATGGTGCAGCATTTGCAAGGCTCTGAGTTCAATCCTAGCACCTCCAGAAGGAACAAAACAAAACATAAAGTTGAAGCTAACCAAAACTTAGCTATAATTGTATATGGATTTGTTAACAACAGGCATCACCCAATTAATTCAGATTCCTATTTGCAGGAAAAGAAGAGTGTCTGGAAGCTAAAATGCGGAGGGACGCTCTTTTCTTCTCCATGTTTGAGCCTGAGTCCACATCGTCTCTACTGTGCTACACTTCGGGGACTCTTACTGGCTGTAAATCCTGTAGGCATACAGTAACCTGTTGATTTGTAACCTACCTTTAGTTTTAATTTTGATGTGTGACAGGTTGAGCACTCTTCAGTTAAATATAATCCACATATTAGCCGGGCGTTCGTGGTGCACGCCTTAAGTCCCAGCAGAGACAGGTGGGTCTCTGTGAGTTGGAGACCAGCCTGGTCTACAAGAGCTAGTTCCAGGACAGCCTCCAAAGACACAGAGAAACCCTGTCTCAAAAAACAAAAAACAAAAACAAACAAAAAAAATATAGTCCATGTATTAAAGAGCTAGAATTCACTTTAAATGATTGAAATTACTTGGAAAAACAAGGAAACATGAGTGCATGTGTTTAGGAAACATGAGTTCATGTGTTTATTATATTTGTTTCTTCAGCTACTTTTAACCTTTAAAAGGATTTATTTAGTTTATGTGTATAAGCATTTTGTCTGGATGTACATGTGCCTGAAGTGGTCAGAAGAGGGCATGGGATCCCCTGGAAGTAGAATCACAGATGGTTGCTAGCTGCAGTGTGGGTGCTGGGAATCAAACCTGGGTCATCTGCAAGAGCACGTGTGCACTTCATCCCTGCGCCCTCTCCAGACTCTGCTTCTAACCTTTTTTTTTTTTTTTTCTTTTTTTTGTTTTTCAAACCAGGGTTTCTCTGTGTAGCTTTGGAGCCTATCCTGGAACTAGCTCTTGTAGACCAGGCTGGTCTCGAACTCACAGAGATCTGCCTGCCTCTGCCTCCTGAGTGCTGGGATTAAAGGCATGCACCACCAATGCCCGGCCTGCTTCTAACCTTTTTAGACAGGGTTTTCTCAGTCACATTAAGGACTTCTTGTCTGTCCCTCACAGTGGTGAACACCTTTAATCCCAGCACATGGGGCAAAGGCAGGTGAACTGCTGAGAGTTCCAGGCTAGCCTGGTCTACATAGTGTTTCAGGATAGCCTGGGCTACATAGTAAGACCCTCCCTTAAAAAAACAAAACAAAACAAAACAAACAAAGTAAAACAAAACCAAAACAAACAACAAAAAGTTTCTTGTCCATTGTAAGGTTAGATCTTGTTAATATTTTCCTAAACGATTTTAAAATCGTTTTTTCCTTTCTAAGGCTACATCTTAGCTGCGTGGTGGTGGCATACACCATTAATGCCAGCACCTTGTGGGACAGAGGCAGGTGAATCTTGAGTTCAAGGCCAGCCTGGTCTGTAGAGCGAGTTCCAGAACAACCAGGGTTACTCAGAGAAACACTGTTTCAATAAACCTAGGAAAGCAAAACAAAAACTAAACTGAAACTTGAAGCTAGATTTCTGTGTTAGTGTTTGCTTTGTTTTATGTTCTGGGCTGAACCTTTGTCCTAGCGCCCTCATAAGTAGCACTGATTTTCTGTGTGCATGTGTGCTAGCTTCATCAACGGTGTCCATGTGTCACTGTTGCTGCTTAGCTCTAGCCTTGAAGATTTTCAGTTCGTTGTAAAGTGGCTCTGCAGGTAAGGGCACTTGCCACCAAGTGTGACAGCTTGAGTCCGGGTTCCTTCCGGCATGATGGAAGGAGAGAATCCATTCATACAAGTTGTCTGTCCTCCAGTCTCTACATGTGCCCTGTGGCATGTACATACACACGAACATGTGCATGCACACAGCAAACAAACAAGTGTAACTTAAAAATGGTAAAGGTCTTTGATGAGTAAAATGAGTTTCAGTGCTGTCAATTGCTTTGGCCACAACAGGCTACTGGGAGTGAAGTTTGGAAGCACTCCTGTGGAAAACCACTCTTCTCTTCCCCTCGGTGCTGCCAGCGGTACGTTTGCATTGGCTGTGTGGATGGGAGCTTGCTCTGCTTCACTCACTCAGGAGAGCAGGTGGGATGATCTAGTTCTGTGTGTAACCCTACCCCGACCCCCTAGCCCTGGAGACTGAACCCAGGGAGTGGCTGTTCCGTTATTGAGCTACATTCCCAGCCCTTGTTTGATGAGTCTTTCCCTCCCTCCCTTCCTCTCTGCTTAGGTGTGTAGGTCTGAGGTTGATGTGTCTTCCTCATTTACTCTACCGTATATATGTGTACCACAATATATATGTGCATATATATGTATATACTTTTTAAAATTCTTTTGATACAGGGTCTCACTTGCTATCCTGGAACTGGTCTCACTGAGTAGACCAGGCTGCCCTAGAACTTTTGCCCTCCCCCTTTTATAATTCATTTATTTGTATTTTATGTACATTGGTGTTTTGCCTGCATGTATGTATGTGTGAGGGTGTTGGATCCCCTGAAACAGGAGTTACAGACAGTTGTGAGCTGCCATGTGGGCACTGGAAATTGAACCCAGGTCCTCTGGGAAAGCAGGCAGTACTCTTAACCGCTGAGCCATCTCTCCAACCCCTGTCTTGTTCTCTTGAGTGATGGAATTAAAGGTGTGTGCCACCTGGTAATGTACAGATTTTTGTTTAAAGCTCTAAATATTTACTTAACTCTTTTAGTCCAGTTCCATCTCACTTTGTTTGGAAAACTTGAGTTAGACCTTTTTTTTCTCGAGTTGGATTTGGAACCAAGGCCAAGTTCTACTCCCTGTCCAAGATTGTTTTTAATAACATATATTGAAGACCTAATGCGATTTTTTTCTTTAAACACTGTGTCTCTGAACATACCAGTAGAAACTCTCAAGTATGCTCAAAATTATTTGTAGTGTTGTAGTGTATCTTGCCCTGTTTTTTTTTTAAATAATTTATTTAACTTTATTTTATGTGTATTGGTGTGAAGGTGTCAGATCCCCTGAAACTGAAGTAACAGACAGTTGTGAGCTGCTGTGTGGGTGCTGGGAATTGAACCCGGATCCTCTGAAAGAGCAGCCAGTGCTCTTAACCACTGAGCCATCTCTCCAGCCCCTTGTCCTGGTTTTTACCCCTGGAGCAGTCTAGTGTGAAAATGCTACTTTCCAGAAGCTGGCATTATTTCTGCTATATGGAGTTACCAGGCTGTCTCCATCTCCCATCTCCCCTCTCCCCTCTTCTGTCTGTATGAAAAAATCTTCGAAGACTTAAGGAAGTGTTGCAGTCGGGTGAATGACTAATTATTCCCCTTTTCTTTACAGGCATGGAGCTTCTCTGCTGGAGGACCAGTCTTTTCATCGCCATGTATCTCAGCAACAGAAGAAGAAATATTTTTTGGTTCCCATGATTGCTTTCTCTACTGCTGTAGCATGGAAGGTCACCTCCGGTGGAAATTTGAGACTACAGCGAGGGTGTATGCAACACCCTTTGCCTTCAGTAACCAGAGCTGTAGCAGTGAAACCCTGCTGGCAGCTGCCTCTACTGATGGGAAACTGTGGATCCTGGAGTCTCAGAGTGGAATGCTTCGAAGTGTGTATGAACTCCCTGGGGAGGTTTTCTCTTCTCCTGTGGTCTGGGAGTCGATGCTTATTATTGGGTGCAGAAATAATTACATTTACTGTCTGGATTTATTGTGTGGGGACAAAAATAATCAAGTGTAGTCCTTGTAAATATGTATGTGTGAGATAGTTGGAAACGTCTTTATAAAGCTATGTGGCTGGTTTTATATTAAAGATTCTATTTTGGTTAAGGAATTTGTTGTACTTCAGTAGAGAGCAGCCATGTTTATTTCCTATGGAAGCAGCAGGAGATTTCAGGAAGAGAGGATCAAACACCTGCTATGGGCTTTTTTAAATAAGTTTTTAAGATTTATTTTATGTATATGATGCTCTATCTGCATGTATACCTGCAGGCCAGAAGAAGTTATCAGATCCCATTATAGATGAGCCACCATGTGGTTGCTAGGAATTGAACTCAGGACCTCTAGAAGAACTGCCAATGCTCTTAACCACTGAACCATCTTTCCAACCCACACTTTTAATTATGTGTGATGGTGTGCTGAATAGTTTTATGCCCACATGACACAAGCTAGTCATTTGAGAGGTGGGAACCTCAACTGAAAAAAAAAAAAAATGCCTTCATAAGATTGGGCTGGAGGCAAACCTGTAGAGCTTTTTCTTAATTAATGATTGATGGGGGAGAACCCAGCCCATTGTGGGTAGTGCCACCCCTATAGGCTAGTGTTTCTAGCTTCTTTAGCAGGCTGACCAAGCCCTGAGGAACAAGCCAGTAAGCAGCACACCTCCATGGCCTCTGCATCGGCTCCTGCCTCCAGGATCCTGCCCTGTTGAGTTCTTGCCCTGACTTCCTTCAGTGATGGACTATGGTGTGGAAGTGTAAGCCAAGTAAACACTTTCTTTCCCAACTTGCTTTTGGTCATGGTGTTCCATCACAGCAATAGTAACCCTAACTAGTTAATTGTTATGTTTTAGATACATTTGTTTAAATTGGTCAAAAGGATGCTGTTCTGGTTTGAAAATATCCATCAAAACACCCCACTGTGGAAACATCACCCCACTATGGCACTTAGGGGTGGCACCTTTGAGAGATGACTAAGATTAAATGAGGCTGTGTGTGTGTGTGTGTGTGTGTGTGTGTGTGTGTGTGTGTGTATGTGTGTGTTTGTTACAGGGGTGCTGCTGACCCTAGGGCCTGGAACTTTGTAAGAGGAGAGACCAGGGCCAGTGTGTAGTATGCTCTGCTTTGCCATGTGATGCCCAGTGTCACCTTGGATGGGACTCTGCAGAAGGTCTCTGTCAGTAAGGGACGTATTACCAGATGTGGCCACTAGTCCTTGAACACCTCAGACTTCAGAACTGAGAACTAAATAAACCTATATTTGTTACAGTCGGTGTGTGACATTCAGGCATGGGCAAGTGAACAAAGATCTCTAGTAAAACACTAGTTCCTGCTGTGGTGTAAAGTGGTTTGTAAACTGGCTTAGCATTTGAAGTCAAGATCTGTCTTCATCAGCGTGCCATTGTGGGTGGGCATTATCCAACTAGTGAGTGTCTGAATAGAAGGTGGCAGAGGAAAGAACATTGTCTTCTTGAGCAAGGCTCACCATATTCCCAAACCTGGACACCACAGCTCCTGGTATGGGAAGGAGACTCAGCAGCAGCAGTCATATCCCTCTGCTTCTCAGGCTACACCATCAGCCCCCTGGTCTTGTGGTCTCTGGCCTTTATCTGAATTGAACTATACCACAGGTTCTGCAGGTCCCTAGTGTGCCAACAGCACACAGTGGCACTTCCCGATGTCCATAACCTCATGAACCAGTTCTTGAATGTCATCTCATGTGGACATTAGTTGGTTGCTTCTCTGGGGCAATCCTAATAGTCTTTACATTTCACAGGAAGTAGACAGATAACTTTTCATTTCTCTCCACCAAGCTAAATAGATCTGATCAGTTGTGGTTTTTTGACTGTCCTGGAACTCACTTTGTAGACCAGGCTGGCCTTGAACTCACTGAGATCTATCGGCCTCTGTCTTCCAAGTTCTGGGATTAAAGTTGTGAGCTGTCACCATCTGGCTCAATTATGTTTCTTTAGAGAACACAATATATTAAGGTAGTTTTGTGGGTTTCCAGGATATAAAGATAAATAAGAGATTGCTCACAGATGGCCATTGAAATCAGTCAGAATTTCAGCTTAAAAAAGGACATTCCATCAGTGCCAAAGGTCTTGTCAGTATTTTATTGAAAGGTCTTTTCCCTTAAATAATGGACATTTTTTACATTCAAACTGTATACAACCAAAATCTCAAAATAATATTAAAATCACACTAAGGAATTTTTATTAAGTATCTACTTAATTTTATTGTTGATAAAAATATTGCAAGACACTTGTAGCTAATGCTGCTGCTTTAAAATAAGCAAACTAAACATCACAAGAAGAGACGGTGGATACACACTATACATTTGTAGATAACCAGCTAAAATGAGAATTTAATGGTAATCAACCATGTTTTATAAGAAACAATTGCACTTGAAACATTTTTAAAGTAAACCAAAAACTCTACTTCCATATGTAAGTCTATAAACAGAGGTTAATCACCTATAACCTTGTCAGAAGAAGTGTGTTTAAATTTTTAAAAAAAGCTTGTATATTTAATGTAGCAGTTATTCATTAAAAAGAAAAAGTCTTGAACTTTCTGCTTCCACAGAACTTCCCCATAGTTTGTTGCTCAGAAAAGTGCAACGCAACTAAAGCAGAATAACACTTCATTGGTATTTAGTGCAGGTTTGGGGTAACTTGTAAATGAAATGCTAAACGTGTACTCTTCAGCAAGTATGGTGACTGCCCTTTCCTCAGTAGGTTCTCCTTTTAAAGGTAATGATGGGGCATTTTTAACTAAGCTGTTTCTTGTACTGTGTGTGGGCTCATGGGTATTGAATCAGTATGAACCTATCTGTTACTCTGTTTTGACACAGGGTCTCCACTGTGTAGCCTTGGCTGGCCTAGAACTCATTATGACCAGGCCGGCCTTGAACACAGAGATCTACCTGCCTCTGTCTCCCAAATGCTAGGGTAAAAGGCATGAGCCACCATGCCCAGTCCTAATCTTCCTTAGCCATCTTATTTCTGTACCTGTTTGCTGCCATGACTGTGGTACAGGCCAAAGCTGAGAGGATGGAAGAAGTAGTCAGTTTGCAAGGATCACTGTGGCACTATAATTCTAGGGCACTGGGTGGGAAGATTCCCATTCTGTAATTCTAGGGCTTTGAGTGGGACGATTCCCATTCAAAAGTGTTATACCAGTGAGGAAATCATTGAACTAACAACTGTCTACACATAAGATTTAGAAAAGAATACCAGTGTGAGAAACGTGCAGTGGAATATTAGTTGATTACAATAGTAATAACACAACAAAAAAAGTTACATTGATTCTTAACAGTCTGAAGGTCCAGAATATATAATACTAAATCTGACTTGCAGTAGTACAGCTATCCACTTGACCACACATGCCAGCTGCTTCATGAAGCTGAGCCACTGTTTCTAGAGAGAAAATGGATTCTATATGGTAAACAGCATCCCTGTCATCCTGTAGGGTTGACAGAACAACAGCACATTGCATATTGAGTAAGCACAGAGGAAGTTGTGATGGATGCAATAAAATGTGTTGGTGTGGGAGAAAAGGGATGCAAATCCCCCTGCACTGGGCAAAGGAAGAATCTGCACCTATAAAAGGAAAATATGCCAACACCAGGAAATACAAAGTGAGTGCCAGCAGTGTGTAGGCATTGCTGGTATGTCTAGTGTCATGAAAGCAAATCTAGAGAAATAAACATACATGTGGCTTTGAAACTGCCAAGTCCCTTTTTTGTATGCACATGTGTATGATACAAGGCCACGTAAAACTCTGAGATGCATCTTTTCTTAAAGGTATCAAGGTGAATGCTCTGAATTGTAAATGCTTTGGAACATTCGACTCTGAATTATTCAAGTACAATAAAGGAAAAAAATTCTCTGTAAGAAGTCCTTCGTAGAAGTAGGTTACACATCTTGGCTTGTTCATTTTCCCTAAAGTCCAAGGGGAAATTTCAGAGGCATGTAATGCCAGCAACCTAAACTATCATACATAAATGGCTGGTTTGGGTGATGGTTTTATTGTCTCACTTTTGCATCTTTGGGTGGACAGGCCTTTTCTTCATGGTGAGAAAAGCTAGATTATACCAGAGTTGTCATACACCAAGGTTCTTAAAACATTTGGGTTATACCAGAATTCATCTGAAGAGTTTTTCCTAAAATCTGTATTCTAAGCCCTGTGCTCCCGGGATCTGGGAATGCAGCCTGGGCTGCTGGACAGCACTATACTATATGGGGATTCTCAGAGACAACTCTGGCACAGCATCTCCTTTTCTTCACCAGACTAAATGCAAATGTTCCTTAGAGCCAGTGAGGCCAAATGGTCTATGTGTCTTTAAAAAAGGGTACTGGTATAACAGGGCACACCATGGATCTAGTGTAGTATGAGTGTGAATGGATTTGCTTTGTTGTGGTTTTAGGGTGGGGAAAAATTCATGAAAACCAGACACAGGCACAGAGTTGGGGGGCCAGCTTTTCCTTATTCTCCAGTCACTGCATCAGGAGAATGACACCATGTTTTATGTACATGTGAACCTGTCACTGTTACATATGCAAACACAGTAGGGTAAATATTTTGGATAGAAGAGTAGAGAATCAAAAATGAACAAAAAAAACTTACAAAGATTGGCAAAGGGTATGTTCTGAAATGGTGCGTGGGTGTGCATATGTATGAGAAGGCCATGGATGGGCATGGCAGGCTCTCCTGAGCTCTCGTTTGCAGATTTTGCTTCATGTGGTCCCTCAGACAAAACTGTCTCTTGAGAACTAGGGGGAGCTCAAGGCACCAGGACCCAGGATTGTGCAAATACACTCTTTACAATGAACACCACCAGTTCAGTTTCTAAACATTATTTTGGAGCCTATAAAACATGCTTCTTTTCCCTAGCTTGGTTTCCTTACCTCATATAAAAAATAAATAAATAAAAAGGGCAAGAGAAAAGCCAGCAAATGGCCACAGAAATGGGTAAGAGTCACTGTTTACTTAATGATTTGTGGGCAGTCGCTCCAGGCCTTTGCTTTTCTTTTGGCCAAAGCCAGCCAGGCAGGTTCTGTGGACACCGGGGCAGCATCTGGGGTGGAGAACCTCTTGGGGGCCTCTTTTACCAGTGGTGCTGGAGGCCCAGAGTCTGAGATCTCCACTGCATCGTTTTGAAGGAAAAGAGAAGTAAGTAAGAACCACATAAAAACAAACTTTTTAAAATAGAATTATATATACTTACTGTACATAAAATGCTGCTCATACACACACACACATCAGCTAAATCTAGCTAATTGTTGTTCACAAATTTATGTAAGAACATTTAAAATCTACTCTCAGCACTTTAAGAATTCAGTAGGCTGTTAGCTCTGGTCACTGTGCTACACAACAGATTTCTTTCCTGTTTTGAGACAGGGTTTCTCTGTGTAGCCCTGGCTATCCTAGAACTCTCTCTGTAGACCAGGCTGGCCTCAAACTCCTAGCGATTTGCCTGATTATACCTCTGGAGTGCTGGGATTAAAGGTGTGTACCACTGAACTTCTCTGAAATGTTGTATGCATTAGCAAATATTTCCCACATGGTCCCGTCTCCAGAACAAGATTTTGACTTATTTAGAGGGGAGAGAGGGAAAGGGAAGGGGGGGTAGGGAGGATGGGAAGGAGGTGAGGGGGAAGTAATGGAAATGAATGATATAGGCAGTGAGGTACTGGTGATGACTCACATTGGCCTGTTAAACGATCAGAAACCAGGGCTAGCAGGTTGCGGTCATATTAGCAGCTTCAAATTAGCCACAGTTGAAGTTTTGGTAAAGACTACATACAACCCCCCTAAGGAGATGACTGTAAAGGCATTTACTGTCTTCACTGAGAGCTGGGGAATTCCTGCCATCTGCATCAGTTTACAACTCGTTCTTGAGAGCCTGTGCTCTGTGATGTCTAAGATGCTAAGTCATTCCAAGGTAGGAATTAAAGATGCTCTCAGGGAAAACAGCAACTCCAGGCAAACAGGGTTGGATTTGTTCTCTCACCTGTCACGGACGTGGGAAGAGTGTTGGCCTTTTTCAGCTGTTCTCTGCGCTGGAGCCTGGACACTGCAGTTTCGGGCTTCTTCTCTTCTGACGGAGTGGCAGACTTGTGCAGGGAACCAGCTCTGCTTCCTCGACTGCTTCCAGGCTGTGGGCTGACACTGACCTGCGTTGGGAATGACAGGGAAAGCATGTTCTCAGTGCATGACCTCTCAGCACCCCAACAAGCAACTGAGCTGCACATTCAAGTCAGGCCTCCAGTGAGGGCTCAGTGTCATGTTCCAAGGATGGAAAGTCACTTACCAGGAAGAGCCCCATCAAGATGATCCTAAAGTTAGGTCATAGAACAAGGCCCCTAGTACACCTGTCCACTGCACAAACTTATGTCCTGACATCTCCTACATACACCATTTTTCTTTCTCTAAGATGGATACTCGTGGGATGTCTAAAACCAGGAACAGCACTAAATCCTGATTGCTCTGTTTATCAATCACTTCAGTTTGTGATTGTTTTTTCTTTCTTTCTAATTAAGTCAAGACCTTTCACTTTACAGTTCCTTAGCGTATGCTAATCTCCAGTACCATGACAGTCATAACCTGGTGCCATCAGTTATGTTTAAGTAAAATAGGATGAGCACTCACTGGAACCCTGTTACATCACTAACTTCCAAAATGGCCATCAGGTTGCCAACTGGTGGTTGACATATACAGTGTAGATACACTGGGCAAAGAGTATTCATGCCTCATGGAGTAGAACAAGAGATTTCATTACACAAAATGGCAATTTAAATCTATGAATTGTTATTCCTGGAAATTTCTACTTTATTTCTAGATCATGACTGTCCTTGAGCCATTCAAACCATGGAAAGTGAAACCTCAGATCTGTGGGAAGGGGCACTACTATAACCATTGTGTGTGAGCTGCTGCTGGAAATACAGACAGACATCTTAGGTTCTGCCAAATAAGGTTCCCCTAAAAGCATAGTAAAACTAAATTAAATTTTTATGCTGAAAAATGCTTCCCTGACTAAAAGGTGGTTAATTTATTTACTTCCCTGCCCTTTATAAACAGCATTTCCAGTTAGCATCTTACAAAACATATCCCATGACTTAGAAGAGAGCTAAGCTAAGGATAGCTACACAGAGAACAAAGCGGGCAACTCACAGCTTCTTTGGAGAGCTTCTCTGCTTGTTTGGCCTCCCGGGCTTGCCTTCTCTCCTCTCGAGTTGCCTGCTGCTCACGAAACCCCTTTTGCTTTTGCAGTGCCAAGGTTATCCACAGTGGCTGAGCAGTTTCAACTTTCTCTGTTAATTTGGAGCCATCTAAAGAGTGCCTGCTCTGCAACATCGGCTTCTCTGTGGAGGAAAGAAAGATGGTGTTTGCTGTGGTTAGCAGTTGACTTAGCTTCTCATCCCATAAGAATGTGACATAATTAGTGATAGGCTTATAATGCCTATGCTGATGCTCAAGGGATTCCATTGGGTGGAAAGGTAACTTCTTTGACTAACAGGAAAATGGGCATTTTTCTTCCTTAGAAGTGAAACTACTTTACAAGAAAATAAAATTTCCAATGTCGTTAAACAAAACAAAACATGTTTACAGGAGTCCGAGGTAGTACGTAGTTCATTGTCTCAGTGAGATTTGTTTTTAGCAATGGAAGCATTCTTCTCAAACAGTATTCTATAAGGAACCCCAGTGTTTGAAGAACAAAACAACAGTGATGCTGTATACTTGAGGCAGCTGCTGAGGGCAAGGCTTGCAAGAACATAGTGAGAACCCCATGACTGTGAACCAATGCCTATATTTGAAAGTTGATCTATAATATCATGCCAAGGATCATGAGTTCAAGGCCAGCCTGGGCTATATAGTAAAACCTTGTCTCAACAAACAAAATTTTAAATGCAAAGAGCTTCTTGTGTTTAGAATATTTAGAATAGTAGTTGGCCTACACTTTAAAAAAGAGATGTGTAATTATTATTTTTGCCCATGAGTCAAAAGTCCCCCTTTCTCTTAAGTAAGCTCACATACTCTCAGAGATAACTGTATTGAATTATTTATTATCTCAAAAGAAAAGAGCTTCCTATAGCCCTGTTCCTCAGAAATCTAATAGAAGTTTACACTTGATAGTCTAGAATCTTACCACTGGGGCCCTCAGTCAGATGGACTTTATATTACACCCCAGCATAAAGAGAAAGACCAAAAAGGAGAAAACAAGTTGGAATCAAGAATTTAAGCTCAAATGGGGCACATTTTTTTTTTTTTTGCAACAATGGAGAACTGTAGCTACCAGCACACGTCAACCACAGTCAAAGTAACACAGTATAGAGAAGACAGGGCTAGTGACAAAACTAAGGTGACAAATGTTCACTGACCAGGCTTTGGCACTACTAGAAAACAGTACAGAAGGGGGAAGCCAGATTATGAGAGATGTTCTCTTAGAAGCAAGACACAGGGGTCTGCTCCAGTTATAAACATCTGAGTCCACTTCCAAGGGAAGGCCAGTGTCTGAATATAGCATGTCTTTAGGATCATTCTAGGTACATTGCCATTATTATGAAGCTGATGGACAGAGACCTGCCATTTCTATGAAAGCATCAAAAATGGCAAAGCCACCATGCCAAAAACCCGACCAACGTTCACAGTCTAAGCTGGGGGATTCAGACTCCACAGTGTTTGTGTCTTGCAGTCTATTTCCTAAAACAACAGAAAATAAAAAGACCAATTGTTTTTAAGGGGGAAAAGGGAAGTTTTTATTTCCTGAGAACTGCAGTTTGCATAGTGTAGTCTGGAGTTACAGATCGTGTTTTATAAGACTGATGTACTACCCACTGCACTAATGAGGCACCTTGGATCAGATTCTAAAAGACTGAGTTTAAAGACTTACTAGGTCTGGCTCACAAGAATATAAACAGGACATTAAAATTGGATTCCTGTTTGAGACTCAGCCAAGGATTTTCCTAAAGCGTTGTGACAAAATAGTAATTGTCATATAGTCACATATTCTAAAGTACAGGACCTCCTACTATGGACTAGCTTATGAAACTGTCAAACACTCACCACCAGAACATGGAAAAACTGAGGCTGTAGCTGAAGACTAGAATTTCTTTTGATATCCCACTGTCCTTGCATAGCCTCTAGTCTAAGACAGGCTTCTTTGTTAGACAGTGGTATTCAAAATTGGTTGAATGTCCTGGAGAATGTGTAAGACATTACATACGGGTGTCGAAATTATGAAAATTTCAATTTGCCACTTTCAAAAATTATTTTAATTTGAAGTGTGTATGAGTGTGTGTGTCTGCCCACAAAGGCCAGAGGCATTGGCTTCCCCTGGAGCTGGGATTATAAATGGTTGTGAACTGTTCAACATGGGTGTTTACAACCACACTGATCCTTAGGAGCAGTATCAGACCTTAACCACTGAGCCATCTACCCAGCTCCTATTTATCTACTCTAAAATCTAAGGATAATGATGGATATCCAGGATGATACTGACACCTTCACTCAGTTGTGTATAACTAGCAATATTGGTTAAAATATTTTTGTTTGGTTTTTGGTTTTTTTGAAACAGGGTCTCATTATATAGCTCTGGCTGTCCTGAAACTCACTATGTAACAAAGTTGGCCCTCAACTCTCAGAGATCCACCTGCCTCTGCCTCCCAAGTGCTGGGATTAAAGGCATGTACCACTAAACCTAGAGGCAGACAGATCTGTGAGAGTTAGAGACTAGCTTGATCTACATAGCCAGTTCCAGGCCACCTGGAGCTGGCTCAGTGATTAAGATCTTATACCAGTGTTACAAGGACTAGAGTTTGGTTACAAGCACCCAGCTGTGGAGATCCTGCCTCAAACAAACAAAAAGAATAAAATAAATAAGCAGGAAAGGGGGAGGACTACTTGCTTTAGTTACTGCCTCCCTTAACTGGAGTTTTGCTAGTCAACTACTCCAGGCCAGGGCTGACCAAATTTATTTGAACACCTTATTAGATAAAAACATTAAGCATAGACTTCCACTTTATTTATTGTTTGTATACATGTAGAACTATTATATGCTAAAGCCTCCAGGATATTATCTACCTTACAAGCAAGATCCATGAGGGATGGAGTGCATCTGCTTTGCAAATCACGGTGCCACGTTGTATTTTCTTTGGTCCACTTCTTCTCAGATCTAACTCCTTTATAAAGTGGCAAGCGTAGAACTGATGCCTCTAGTTTCCAAGTACTGGGATCAAAGGCATGTGCCACCATGCCCAGCCTATTTAATTTGGAGTCTGACAATCCAAAATCTGACTACCAGGGAAGAAACAGGGGTGGCAATAGTTTTAGAGAGAAAAATGACAATAATAAAAGAGAAATCTCTAAGAGAAATGAGCTTTTCTTCATGGGAGAGGGGTGATGATGGACCAACAAGGCTGAAAGCGACTGCAAATATCACAAAAGCTAGTGACACAAAAGCTAAAGTCAAAATGAAAACTGAGCTCACCCATCAAATATCAGTCACTACAGGAAAGAATCTATGGGTTACTTGTTAGTATTCAGGCATCTGTACTGTCTGTCCTTGGGGTTCTGACAGGATATGCCCTCAGCTGCAGCCATTAAGAGCACCACCTGTGCACATTCACTATGTTCCTTTTTTGTTTTTTTAAAGATTTATTTATTTTCTAGGAATACAACCTTCAGCCTCCATGTCTGTCTGCATGCCAGGAGAGGACACCAGATCTCATTATAGATGGTTGTGAGCCACCATGTGGTTGCTGGGAATTGAACTCAGGACCTCTGGAAGAGCAGTCAGTGCTCTTAACTCTGAGCCATCTCTCCAGCCTCCCACTATGTTCCTTTTTACAGGGCCCTGCCTACCTCACATCCTCCTCCTCCTCTCTCCCTCCTCTCTCTGCCCCTCTTTCCTCTCTCCTGCTGCTCCTGTCCCCAAAGGCCAGTCCCCCCCTTTCCCAATTTTTATGATCCTTTTCCCCTAATAAAAAACCCCTCTGTTTGGACCCTGTCTCATGGCGTCTTTCTCTCACGCACTGCTTTTCTTAAATTACAACACTACTTTCAAGGAGTCGTGTCCATCTAGGAAAACTTGTCTTTTGGGCTGAACCCCCATCTTCCAGTAATTCACCAAATTGGCAAACAAGGGTAAAAAGAAGCACCCTATATATATCCTCTGGGTCTTTTAGAAAACATAGGGCTGTTTCTTTGGCCGCATCTGTAAGATGGGTGATACAGTAGATAAGGGGAAGGACACTGTTAAAAAAGGAATGCCCCGTAAGTTATAGCAAAACTAGATGAGTCTGCACCATTACTCTGTATGCTGTTGGCACTGTTGTAAACAAGAAAATTAAGGGTAAGATCCCACCCCCCACCCTCCACCCCACCCCCGAAACAGGGTTTCTGGCTGTCTTGGAACTTGTGCTGTATACCAGGCTTGCCTTTAACTCACAGAGATCCACCTGCCTCTGCCTCCCACGTACTGGGATTAAAGGTGTGAGCCACCACTGCCTGGTAAGATTCTTATCAAGAGATTAATCTGCATTAATATTGAGTATATTGAGTATTCTAAAACTTGAGATGGCTTCCTGAAATGGGTGAGAAAAAACAATGTGAAGAAGAAAGGTGCTATAGAGAAAGGCACTGTATTCAACTGGAGTGCCAGGCTGCCTCAGCCAGAGAAGCCCACTTTGTCAGAACTAAAGTACATGACCTTGGGGCTGTTGGAGCCCATCCTTATGAATGCATGGCTGTACAGATGACAACACCACCACCAAACCTCTGAAGTTGCCTGTCCAGCACTGCCCATGAGGCAGACTGATACACTTATTCCTAAAAGAAAAAGAACCACCTGGTAACTTACCACAGTTGTGCTGGCTAGCCTTATATCAGTTACACACACAAGCTAGGGTTACCTGAAAGGAGGAAATCTCAGTGGAGAAGATGCCTCTATAAGATGCAGGTGTAGGGCATTTTTTTAATTAGTGGTCATTGTGGGTGGTACCATCCCTGGGCAGGTGGTCCTGGGTTCTATAAGACAGAGACTGAGCAAACCATGAGGAGGAAGCCTGTAAGCATCGCTCCTCCATGGCCTGTGCATGGCCTCCTGCCTCCAGGATCCTGCCCAGCTTGAGTTCCTGTCCTGACTTCCTTCAGTGATGAACAGCAATGCTGAAGTGTAAGCCAAATAAACACTTTCCTCCCCATTTGCTTTTTTTTTTTTTTTTGTCATGGTGTTTTGTCACAGTGATAGAAACCCTAAGACAGCAGTAGACTGGGAACATACAGGCACACGGGCCTATTAAAATTATTTTAGAAAGACTAAGCCTGAGGATTTATAGAACACACCACACGGAGGCACCAGTACCCCATAAAGACACCAAACCCTTTCCATGGCTCCATAGTCCTTTACCTCCAGCTGTTTTTTTTTTTTTTTTAAAGATTTATTTATTTATCTTGTATACAGTGTTCTGCCTACATATATGCCTGCAGGCCAGAAGAAGGAACCAGATCTCATTATAGATGGTTGTGAGCCACTATGTGGTTGCTGGGAATTGAACTCAGGACCTCTGGAAGAGCAGTCAGTGCTCTTAACCTCTGAGCCATCTCACCTCCAGCTGTTTTTGCAGCTGGACTCAACCCTAAGGCCTGAGGCCTGGTTTAACACCAAACCCTGCTTCCCTATCAACATGGTTCTGTGCCTCCAGTGGTTGGTCCTCCCTCCCTCCCTCCTTCTCTCTCTCCTCTCCTCTTTCTCTCTCTCTCTCTCTCTCTCTCTCTCTCTCTCTCTGTGTGTGTGTGTGTACAGGTGTTTTGCCTGCACATGTGCAAGTGCACTGCATGTGTGCCTGGTACCTGTGAAGGCCAGAAGAGGGTGCTGGATCCCGTAGAACTGGAGTTATGGAGATGTGAGGGTGCTATTCTGGGACCCAAACCATGGTCCTCTGTAAGAGCAACAGTGCTCTAATCTGCCGAGTCGCCCTCCAGCCCCTCCCACTGGGTTTACTATTGTTTCCTTTCTGATTACTCAGTGATGCTGCAGCTTTATCAGCTCCCTGCCTCCAATAAGGCCTCTTTGGATTTCTTGAGCCTTGCTGAGGCTTAACACTTTGCCGGCATTCCATAACATGTTTGGGTGCATGTGCGTTTTTACTGTATGTGGTGTGAGATATGAGATTTAATATTAGTAACTGGACTAAGAGAACTTGGTTTGCCAATGGCCAAGGAAAACAGAGGTTGCTTGGCAAACGGCTAACAATAAAACTGTTATAGCTTGTGAATTTACTGTTATTTGATCAATTCTGACATTGCAGAAAGACATAACCATGCCCATCTATGGTTTCTGGCATGTCACACTCACCGCAGTACTCTAGGGGCTTCCATAAAGGAAAAGAAGTAACCAAGCCAACACTTCTCAAGGAAGCAAAACCCACCCCAAATCTGAACACTTAAAAAGAGAACCTTCCTGGCCATGATCCAAACTTTGTCTCTAGAAAGATTAGGTGAACATTCCATGGAAGCACAAAAGCCAGTTCAGATCTCCATCTAGCCACCTCAAATGTTCAGTATGAAGAGGCAGTCAGAGCCAAGGGTTGCTCTGACTAACCTTCCTTCCTTCCTTCCTTCCTTCCTTCCTTCCTTCCTTCCTTTCCTTCCTTTCCTTCCTTTCCTTCTTTCCTTCCCTCCCTCCTTCTTTCCTCCCTCTCTTCTTTTCTCAAGACAGGGTTTCTCTGTGCATCCCTGGCTGTCCTGGAACTCTGGCTCTAAACCAGGCTGGCCTAGAACTCAGAGATCACCTGTTCCTGCCTCCCAAGTGCTGCCACTACGGGAAGTCTGCAGAACTGAGAGGATGTTAAGCTCATTTTACATAACAGCGAAGAAACTCCACAGTTCCAAGGCTGATGCCAGGACCTTCCTCTCTCTGTTCTGCAGCAGCCACCCAGAGGGAAGGCAGTTTCCGGTCTAGAAAACTCTACTTTTGATCACCTCTACAGACTTGCTCAAAATGGTTAAAGATATCTGTGTTAACTGGGGCTACATTTCAATCCAAAGGATGTTAAAGTGTAGAAGAACTGATTTGGGGCCAACTTGTTTCTAATTAAGATGTTCCCAGAGCCAGTTCCCTGGGCTCTCTCTCAATTCCCTCTCCACCGAAAGAAGCTGGTTACCCGGTGTGATCCGCAGCCACATACCTTTTCTACCTGTTTCAGAAGTTAGTGAAGGTCTCTCTTGCTGGCTGGATGACAGAGGTGGGGAAGCCGGTTTCTTTTCAGGCACCTCTTCCTCATCCCTCTTTGGCCCCTTCGGCTCCTCTGGCAGTGCTGGTGAGGACGGCTGGTTATCACTGCTCTCCCGGCTCTCCTTGCAAGCCTCGTTTGGCTCGGAATCCACCTTCCCAGGCCGCCTAGCAAGCAGCTCTACCAAGTAGGGTCTGCTCAGTTTGGAGAGTGGGGATGATGGTGGAGTCTGGCTGGTGGGCTTGGGAGCCAGGGCCGGCTTCTGTATTGGTGGTGTTTTGCTTACTGCCTTGTCCTGCTCTGGAACTAGGGTCTGGCTGCTGGCTGGTGGTAGCCCTAACTGGGCTGCAGCAACAGAGTGACCCCTAGAAGGGCTTTCGGCAGAGTCCCTCCGAGGGGCTAGCTTTTTCTCCTGGGGAAGGGATGTGCCATGCTTGAGGGCCACCGCTGCGGGTTCTTTGTCTCCAGCGTCGCTTCCGGCTGCGGGGGTGCCACCATCCACAGTGTCTCCGGTGCTGCTGTGCCTTTTCTTCTTCTTCTGTTCAGCCTGCTGGTCACACTGGAAGCGCAAGGAGTAGTTGGTCCTTCTCAGTTTTATACCGAAGGGCGAGACCTTTTCCTCACCTCCTGGCACCACAGGATCTGGCTTTCCTATTTCACTCGTGGTCTCGCTGTCCAAAGTGGTCGTGGACCCTGTGCGGGAAGCAGCTTTCTGCGGAGAAGGCAGGCCCGGCACGAGGAAAGATGGAAGGTCTTTGGCAAATTTGCATCCGTCAGTGGTGTCTGGTGGCTCCTGGCTCACCTCTTGCTTCTCCATGCTCTTCCGAAGCTCCGGAGCCGCAGCAGGCGGAGGCTGGGGTGTTGTCTCTTCACCCGGTGCTGGGCCCAGCTTTTTCCTTACGCTTTCACCGTCCAGGCTCTGTTTGAAGGTCTCCGCGCCGCCGTCTGAGAATTTCTGCCAGGCCGGCATGATGGAGAACTTGGCATTGACTGGCGGCGTCCTGCGCAGGTTCCCTCGGGAATCGCACCGCACTCGGGGAGCGGGCTCGTCCCCGGCTCTGACCGGCTCTCTGTCGCCACGCTGGTCACCCTCCGCATTCTTCAGGATCCTGGATCGAATGGAAGCCCACTCGGCTAGCGCCGCGGCATTGCTCGGCGACTCCGGGGGAGGCCTGGCCTTGCTGCCGCTGGACCTGACCTCCACTGTGGGAACGTCCACCGGCCGCTTTTCTTCTGACAGGCCCAGGAGGGACTTGCACGCCGTGTCCTTGATCTGGCTCAGGTTGACCGCCGGGCCGCAGAGCTGCGCTCCAGTGACCAGAATGGCTGTGTGCGGGATGCTCAGCGCAGAGGGCAGGGCGTGTGGGGCGGCACCGCGAGGCACCGGCGGTTCCTGGGTCACTGGGGCCGAGCTCGTGTCCTTGGCGGGAGTCACCGGACTCAGGTTGACTTTGGGGAAGAGAATCTGCCTACCCCCGGAGGACACCTGGAACGTGTAGGGCCGGGGCATGGTCTGCCGTTCGTCCACCTCCTGCCACCGGAGCTCCTCCACCTTTCGGTCTTTATCTGCAGGGACAGCTTCGTTCTTGTCCTCTGAGGCCGGCGTTCCGCCAATCTGCTCCTCTTGAGGCCGGGGGTTGTCTATCTGAGTGGCTTCTCTCTCTTCCACGTCTACACCCCCACACTCCATGCTCAAGTCTCCCCTCTGCCCTGCTGGCTCGCTGCCCGCATTGGCTTCTTCCTTCTGCTCCTGGGCCATCTCTTTCTGCCCCACGGATTCCAGGTTTTCTTGTTCCTCTGGCTTCTCAAGGTCCCGCTGCAGTGGGCTTTGCTGATCAGAGTCGTCCGATAGCCGAGGCTGGCTCTCTCCTTCTGGACTCTGGGGGCCTTCGTCCACCTGCGGCCCTGGCGCCTGCATTGCCTGCCCTTTCAGCTCTTCTATGTGGTCGGCTTCCAACTCTTCCTCCTGCCTCAGCTCCAGCATCATCCTCCTGGCCTCCTCCTCCTCCTGAGCATGCTGCCTCTGGGCCTCGAGCTGCCTCAGTGTCTCCTCCTGCTTCTGGGCCTCCAGCTTCCTCAGCTCCTCTTCCTGCCTCTGGACTTCGAGCTGCCTCAGTTTCTCCTCCTGATTCTGGGCCTCCAGCTTCCTCAGCTCCTCTTCCTGCCTCTGGGCTTCGAGCTGCCTTAGCTCTTCTTCCTGCCTCTGAGCCTCGAGCTGCCTCAGCTCCTCTTCCTGCCTCTGAGCCTCGAGCTGCCTCAGCTCCTCTTCCTGCCTCAGTTTCTCTGCCTGTCTCTCGGCCTCACGCTGCCTCAGTTCCTCTTCCAGCCTCTGGGCATCCCGCTGTCTCAGTTTCTCCTCCTGCCTCTCAGCCTCTTTCTGCTCACGCCTGCGCTCTTCCACCTCCAGGTGGTCGGCTTCCCCCAGCTCTCGCTCTGCACATCTTTGCTCCTCCAGACCGGACCGCCGCCCTTCCCCTGGAGGTGCCTTGCCCGCCTCTAGCTGCAGGTCCTCCTCCTCGCCTTCCTCCTCCTCCAGCAGCTCCTGTCGGAGACTTTCCTCCCAAAGCCTCCTCTCCAGTGCCTGCCGCCTCTGCTCTTCCAGGCGCCTCTTCTCAGCTGCTTCGGCTTTTTGCCGTTTGCACTTGGCTTCAAGTTCCCGCCAATACTCTTCCTGGAGTCTTTTATCTTCGTGAGAGTCCAGAGGTTCTGGTTCCTCTTCATGCCAAATGTGCTTGTCTTCTCCCGGCTGTCCGTTCTGGTCCACAGAGGATTGACTCTCGAAGCTGCCTGGCACATTCTGACGATCCTGGCCCGGAAAAGGGAAGCAGAATTAGCCTTTTACCACGCCGGCCCAACTCTTCCCAGCCACAGCGCAGGTGGTCCTCTTTAATCACAGGTGCCCAAGTACAGACACAGCGGTCCCTGCAGCTGCCTGCCCATGATGGTTAGACCTCCTTGTCAACCTGACTGGACTTAGAGTTACCATGGAAACATGCCTTTGGGTGTTTCCAGAACTGCCTAACTGAAGCAGGAAGGCCGAACCTGAATGTGGGGGGCGGGGCACCATTTCAAGGGCTTAAGTCTTTGTGAGCCTAAGATGGAGAAAGAGGAGAAAGCAGGCTGAGCGCTAACGTTTATCTCTGTTTCCTGTATATGTAAAGTGACTGCGGCTGCCATAGGTTCTGAAACAGGCATGAGTGACTAAAACTGTCAGGCAAAAGATAAACCTCAGGCCATGGAGGGTATGCAGACCTTTTGATCCCTGAACACTCAAGTTCCTGATAGAGGGAGACCTACAATTTACTATGGCTCTACCTCAGACAGCCATCAAGGTAGAATTAGTGCCCGGCAAGCAAGGGCACCTCCCTCACCAGCTCGGGCAGACTCCACGCACCTGCACAAGCCACCTGTGCTTCCTTGACACCCTCTGGTTTTTTGGCTTAACAGAGAGTTTGTGCTTGGCAGCACTGTTGTCCAGACGAGCAATGGCCAGGGGGATGGCGTCAAGGTTGACACTTTCAATGGTGCCAGTAGAAGAGAGGAGCCTTTTTGGCCGAGAGGGTTTAACGGGAGCAACCTAGAACATGGATTAAGATAGGAAGGTCAGCATGGATCAGAATACAGCATCCAGAGAATCCCACCATGGCAGTATTCACTGGCTTCTGTCTCTGCGGCTTAGCCCATGGAATGTTGTTTGAATGAGCATCGAAGTCAGTGCACAATACACAATTCTCAAAATCACAGCCAGTTCCTACCTAGCTTCTGAGGTGGGTGAGGGGGAGCCAGGGGATGAAGAGAGGCTCAGGGAAAGCATCTGCAAAGACCTGTGTATATGTGTGTGTGTGTGTGTGGGGGTACTGTTAGCCTCTCCTCTGTCCTGCAGCTGTTTGATATCCTGCAAGTGTCCTCCATGTCCACTGCTGGTCCATTCAGCACCTGGTCTGGCCTTCAAGCCATCAGACAGCAGTGCATAAATTTCTCCTTCTCTAGCTTCTTCATGCAGATGCCTGTTGTCTCTTCTGAACTATCACATGGCCTTGCCCCTTAGGATTTGACTGCCAGGGTGGTTTGAATGAGAATGTCCCCCATAGTCTCAGAGGTTTGAATACTTGGTCCTGAGATAGTGGTGGTATTCGGATAGGGTTGGGAGGTGTGGTGTGATCTTGCTGGGAGAAGTGTGTTTCAAAGCCTCAGGGCCATTCCCAGCATGCTCTGTTTCTGTGCTTTTGCTTCAAGATGTGAGCCCTCATCTTCCTGCCCTAGACACTACTCCATCATCACAGAGTCCAGAATCGTCAGCTCATATAAACTCGTGCTTCTGTAAGTTGGTTTGGTCACAGTGTTTTATCACACAGTAAAATAATATAAGCTCATAAATGGACATCTCTGCCACGTCTCCCTTGATCAGAGTCACCAGGACAAGAAAGCAATGCACACAGGGACCAGGTGCAGGAGGGCCAGCTGCGCATGCCTGAGGAAGTCAATGCTGCTTCAGCAGGTAATGATGCCAAGGATGCTGTGGAGGTGCAGGCACACCAGGCCCTTAGTGTCAAGTTCCAACTTGACAATCTCTGGGCAGAGAGGCCTGGTAAATCCCCTTCCTAAGGTGGAACTGTTCCTTCTACCTGCCAGCTACTAGATGGAGGAGGGCATGGCTGTGGCCCATAAGCTTAGGGGTCCAGCTCAGGGTAGCCACATAGGCAGATATACTGAGAAGGGGAGAGTTATCTGGAACTACCCTAACCACAGGATTTTCTAGAGAACCTGACTGAGAAAGTGCAGTTTCAGTGGTGGGTGGTCCTTGGTATTTTGGAAACATAGGCTTTACCACCTGTATCTGGGTGACCCCAGTAGTCAAGAGTTTGTTTCTTCATTTGTAAAAATGGGTCCTTGGTATTTTGGAAACATAGGCTTTACCACCTGTGTCTGGGTGACCCCAGTAGTCAAGAGTTTGTTTCTTCATTTGTAAAAATGTCAACAGCACCCCTCTCATAAGGCCGTCCATGGTGGGGAGTAAGAGAGGCAGCTCTGATAAGTCCCTCAGCATGGTGCCTGGAACACAGTGGGTACCCAATTAATACTAGCGCCTAGTATTAATAAGGTGGGAAGGTCCAAGTTCATTCTGGAATCAAGGGGATTGTTGGAGATAAGAGATGGAGCACTGGAGGCAAGGCAAGAGAGAGTCTCTAAGGTTCCTCTTGTGGGGAACCCCATGGTAGACAACCATTCTCAGCACTTCCAGACTTCATAATAAGGAAGCCCAGGGAAGTGGTGAAGGTTGCCGTGGGACACAGAATACAGCAGCTTCCTTTAGATTCTGGAGTGCAGTGGACTGCTACTTGTGCTTCAATTTCTGTTTGCTCCTGTAGTTATAACATCCTGACCCCCTATAAAGGTACCCGGTGAACTTATCCACTGTAACCAACAAGCTATTGGCTGCACGATGTCACATGCAGACGTAAATACACATACGGTACATCTATGCTTAGTCCAAGTGCATCTCTTCCGATGCTCATTTATGTCTTCCTGTAACGGAGGAGCCCATCTTTTAAAGAATAGATGTATCAGCCCGGCATTGGTGGCTCATGCCTTTAATCCCAGCACTCGGGAGGCAGAGGCAGGGGGTATCTCTCTCTGTTCGAGATTCTGTTCTAGAGAGTGAGTGATAGGATAGGCTCCAAAGCTACAGAGAATCCCTGTCTCGAAAAACAAAACAAAACAAGACAAAATTAAATCCTCACTATTTTGTAAGGTAATTCAAAACTAAGATTTGAAAGAAAAGAAGTTTGAATTTGCTGTTCCCAGAAAACATGGGTTATTAAACAAAAAAAACCCTCAGTGCTAGGCATAGGATATCTCCTTATAAATTATTGACCATGGAGGCCACGGAGGCACCTAAATCAACACAGTCTGTTTATTTCATTGCTCTTGGTTGCTCACCATAACTAGATGGTGAGACCCTATTGCTGAACACAGTGACAAGAAGTGAATTGGGAACTTTCTGGGAAACCTCCTCCCTGCCAGTTAGCTTTCATAGTTATAGAAGGAGCTGCTCAGGCCACTGGGAAGAAAGGGACTTCAATGGACTGGATTTTACAAACCTCACCTGCCAGGCAAGACATGGCCACTGTAATGGTAGCATGGATGTTATGGGAGTAACCAAATGCTTTTTGCATGGATTTGAGGCCTGTTCCTCAGAGAAGAATTCATGACTGGGACTGTAAGCCTGGTCAAAAGCCCGTGGCTGGGGAGGCCACAGGCCATAGGGGGAACTTACTATAATTGTTTTGCTAGCTGGTCATCTTGCCAAATTTCCTATAACATTTATGTTTATACCCATAGATTAGTGCCTCTATCAACCTTGGCCAGAGACAAATTCTTTCTGTAGTGGGCAGTGTGGTTCCTGCAGAGACTCATACTGGGGAAAGAGTTGTGAATAAGTGGCCGTTGCATCCTCAGCCCTAGACAGGATGTTCATATCTGTCTTCCCTCCTTCATAAGGATCAAGAGACACTGTAAAAGAGTGGGTAGAAGGAAGAACAGAAAGATCTGGAGGGGAAGGAGGAGGGTTGAGAAATGTCTTCTTGATATAATATCCATGTTTCATTCATGAACTCATAGCATCTGTGGTTGCCTGGACAAGATCAATCCAGTCTATGTCACTGGTTATGGGGCTAAAGCTCCTGAGGTCCCACCCCTAGCTGAGGAGTTATTTGTAGTAGGTGGAAAAAAAGAGAGTCAATTTTTTTGGCGGTGTGGTCCCTGGTAGATTGTGCAAAAATCCGTGGATGGTACCGCACCCATGAACATGTGGGCAGCTCTCATAAGACTCAGTGAGTTGTTTTTCAATGAGGGCATAGAATAGGAAGGGGGATGCAATGGGAGAGGGCCTGGGAGATGAGAAGGGGAAGAAGAGAGGATGGATATGATCAAGATATGCATTCAAGTATGAAATTGTCAAAGAATATAAATAAATTAAATATTGTTAAAAATTTTAAACATTTTGACACGCTCACTCAAAATCATAGAATGCTTAGTACATCAAAAAGCTAGCAAAGTGCTCTGGTTAAAAAAAAAAAAACAAAAAAAAAAACCAGGTGTCGTTTGCCCAAAGGAAACTGGAATAGGCTGCAACTCTGGGATAAAGACACAGTCACTAAAAGACCACTTCCCACCCCTGCATGGGGCACACACTTGTAATCTTAGTACTTGGGAGCTGGAGACAGGAGAAACAGGAAGTTCACCCTTGGCCACATATTGCATTCGAGGCTTGCCTGGACTACACAAGACTCTTGTCTCAAAAAATAATTTAGGAAGCTGGAGAGATGGCTCAGACGTAAAGAACAGGTGTTGCTCTTACACAGGTCATGGGTTCACTTCCCAGCACCCACAAAGTGGCTCAAAACAATCTACAATCCAGTTCCAGAGGATCCAATATCCTATTCTGACCTCCATGGGCACCAGGCATGCATGTGATGCAAATACATAGACGGAGGCAAAACACTCATAAGCAAACAAAACCTTGGACAAACTGCACATGTTTAAAGCAGTTGGTGGTCACGGCACAGCCTCCGTCAGAGGATACACTGAATGATGGTAGGAAGCCATTACCTGTAACTTTGAGAATTTAGATGGTTGGTGAGCAAAGTGTGTCCATGCCAATGTGCAATAGGGGGCGCTCACAGACCTCTCAGAGCCACAAGTCGCTTTACACAAAGGCCAGGGCTGGACAGGGCTGGGCTTTCAGACTGTTTGCACTGAATGTGTAAAGTCTGTGGGGCTTACATGCAAAGGGCTTGCATTTCTGCAATTACCCTCCATATTTATTCACAAAAGGTAAAAGACCAAACCTGTACACAATTATAATCAACAAAAACTACTTAGTACACATGAATTTGTGAATTAAGATGTAGAGAACAGATATTTCCAGCCTTTGGTCTTATAGCTTTTAATTACGAATGGTCATTCTTATAACAGATATAAAATTCTGAAGAGAATTAAGCATTTTTTTTTCATTCCCTAAGAGGCCTTGTTTGTAGCTATCCCCACCGAGCCTCATTTCTGTCTGGATAGTGGTACTGTTCAGAGCCACCCCCTCACAGGTGCAGAGCTGGTCACTGTCACATCCTTCAGTTTCTTCAGAGAAGGCCTGCCCCATGTAGAGATGAGAATTCTCATCAGAGAAACTCAGTCCCTATGGGACATGTGCTTGGGACAAAGGGTCTTCGTTGAAGGTAAAAATCCCAGGGCCATAGGGGAGGGAAATGGTTTGTAAGTAAGGGCAAGCATGAAGCCCTGAGTTCAGGTCCCACCCCACCCCCCATGTAAAAGGCAGAGAATGACCATTCATGTACCTGTTACCCCAACACCATGGAGGGCAGAGACAGAAAGACCACCTGTTTCAGTGAGAAGACCCTACTGTCTCCAGAGAACAACATGGACAGTGATGGAGTGGGACTCCTGACTTCCCCCTTTGGTCTTTCAATGCATATGCATAGGTGTACCCCGGCCTCCCCCCACACCCCCAACACACAATAATAAAAGGGGCATTGCAAGTGCATGTGTGTTCAAAAGTAGAGAATGGCAAGGTTGGGCTTGGGTTTGTTTCTTACATTTGTACATAACAGAAAACTCTCCCTTACAGTATTGAGAACCGGCAGACATTTTAGAATGCCCTTCTCAACAGATGAACAATGCCTTGAAGTGCATGATCCATTTGTGTTTAGGGAAGCTATCACTGTCTAACCCCTCCCCCCCCAGGCATTATGGGAGCATGGCTATTCTTCAAAGCAGGGCTGGAATCTAGCGGTTGTGTTGCCATGGAAATGTATGCTTTCACTTCTACCCCTGGTTGCTCTGGTTTATGAACAGAAAATGAAACAGCAGTTTGTAACAAAAAAGGAAAGAGGCTAAATGAAAAGTTCGAATCCCATTACCTTCTCTTCCATCTCACTTCCGGCTTCAGGTAGATTCAGAGGGCTGGAGTAACTTGGCGTATCACTGGACTGGAATAGGAGAGAGTGCCCTTGAGTTAAATGTAGGGACAGGAAGTGCTGAACAAATACCAGCACTGTCTATGCCTGACCAGGGTGGTTCCTTGACCAGGGTGGTTCCTTGCTCCACAGGGGGACATTTGCTCTCCAGCAACCAATGATCACTGTGGTAACTCTGCTGACTGGGACTACAGAGCCACAGAGGGGCACAATCCTCCTTGTCCTGAGTTCAGTGCATTTCCTTCTGGCTAGCTCCCAGCCTCAAGTCCAAGGCCTTAGCAAGGTTGAGAGGCTGCTTGGCGGTCACCTCACCTGGGAAATGGGGCTGTGTTACACACAGCTCCAACCTTAGGGCTCTCAGAATTGCTCGCAGCCTTCTACCCTGCCTCTGCTCCCCCCAACCCCAGACTCCTAAGCAGAGAGTGAGGACAAAAGGTCCTCCCGGAACCACATGCAAAGGGCTGTACTGAGAAGGTAAAAGACCAGGGAGGCTGAGGGTGACACACTAGGCTGGCCCTGGAAACATCCCAGGAGGTCACATTCACCTTTGGGATGGGTGGCTATACCTCTACTTCATGCTGGTATGTCAACTTGCCCAGCCCACTCTATGCTGTACACTTAAAAAGATGTTTAGAAAAAGAAGTCAGGGCTTTGTGAGATGACTCAGTAGGTGGGTGTAGACCTGATGACCTGACTTCAATTCCCAGAACTTATAAGGTAGCAGGGGCAGGAGAGAACTAATTCTTAAAAATTGTCTTTTGAATTCCGCACGCATGCCATGGTGTGTACCTGCACACACATGCACACACACACACACACACAAATGAATAAATTTAAAAGGACACAAGTCAGCTCCAGACCCTTCCTTACTCACTATTAACTCAGAATTCAAAACTGGATTTTCCCTTTTCACGGTTTCCAGCATCTGACCTTGGCATCTGCTTCCCCCCCCCCCATGCCCATCCAGCCACACCTGACCAGCTTCCTCCTGGGCTTCTTTTAAAGTTCAGCTTGCTCTCTTTGGTCTTTGTTCTGGATCATTCCTATGCCTAGAATGTTCTTCCATCTTGTCACCCCTTGGTCTGTTCCCAAGCCCACATCTGAGAATACAACCTCTCTTCCACAGAGTTACATACTGTCTTATTCTCGGCAGGCAGCATTTCGCCTGATGTGAATCAGTTATCTTTACCTGTATGGTGACTTGTGTGCTCGGTGACAGCCTCTCATTAGGATGTAAACCACCAGAGGCCCTCCCGTGACAAATCTTGTTCATCTCTGTAACACCCACAGCTAAGACAAGGTCTGATGAACGAAGAGCCTCCCTTGCCCTGAGGCCACAGCACTTCTGCTTCGAAATCATAAGTGATATCAAGGACATCCTTCAGTCCTCATGATTCCCTGTGTTAAAGCGATGGCTCTTGCTGTGGCTGCAGCCGCTGCTGCCTGATACTGGGAGGTGGGGGAGAGCATTTTAAAATCCAAGAGGAAGGACCACTGTTTCCTGCTTCTTCCACCATCCAAGTGTCAACATGTGGGTGCCAGGAGTCGTCACAGCCAGGCCCCAGCAGAGGTGACAGTAGATGGACTGTCCCTTTTCATTGCTAACAGCTTGTCTTGCTTGATTCCCACTCTTCTGACCCGTTAGCTGGTAACAGCTATACCCATTTTAATAGCAAACACCCAGATTCTGGAATTCTGATAGGCAAAGTGTGGAAAAAGCTTTAAGAAAGATTCAACATCCACTTGTCACTAGGGAACCCCAGACCCTAGCTATTCAGAGGGCTTCTGAGTGTTTTCTCCTATCCAAAGGGTTCTCCTCTGCTGCTGGAAGACCTCGGAATTCAGAATCTATTCAAGTGTTTCCTGGAAGTGTCAACACACCACACGTAGACAGCCAGGGACTGGAATGTGACTTTCTTTCCGGCTGAGGGGAATTCAAGCTGGCCTGTGTGAGACACTCTCACTGGACCCCCACTGCTTTCTTTCCATCTCTCATAAATGAGTCCAATTTGACAAATAATTAGCCAGTGTTACTCAGCTGGCAGCCTCTAAGTCCCAAGGAGACAAGAGATGTGTAAGAAGCAGTCTCAGCTATGAAAAAGCCAACGTTTAGAGATGGAGAGAAAACAATTTTACACAAACAGATACCGATGGGGGATATGAACTTGGAAGTATGGAGGAGACAATACAGCTTTGGGGGTGAGGCCAGGCAAGATCTCCCAGAGTCACCTCAGCTACCCAAGCCTTGAAGGATAAGCAGAAGGTACTGGCAAGGACATCTGCAAAGGGCCTGTGCCTTCCTCCCCTCTCTCCCAAAATGTAGACCTCACTCTCCACCCCCCACTGTAGGCCCCACCCTCCAATCCCCCACTGTAGACTATAGGGTCATCGGATGCCACTGTCCCCTGGCCAGCATCCTGCTCTCTGGCTTATCAGAATCCAGTTACCCCCTGGAGGAGACTTACTTTGTTCTCTGTGTCTAAGAGGACAATATCCTGATGAGTCACAATTTCCATGGGACTGGTCACAAAGAAGTCCTCATCTGAGCTAGCGTCTGCACTGCCTGCCTTCTTCATGGGAATGGCATTAGATGGGCGCTGCCCAAACTTGATATTCTTGCCCAACTGTCGCTGGAGAGAAACAAGGGGAAGACATTCTGAAACATCCAAGCGGTCTCCACAGCCATGACCAGATTCCCAGGGGAGAGTTGTGCCCAGCTGCCTTCCAGAGGCCCTGCCATGCCAAGGGACCTCGATGCAGTCCTGAAGTGAGTCCACTTGTCAGCATCTTCAGAGCCATAAGCTTTCAAAACTCCAGCCACCTCTTGGATGGAAATAACAGCAGCTTCCGGTAGGTACAGGGACCATGTTTCTGAACCAAGGTTGGAAATAAGTGTCTTTAATTTTTTGATCCATCTATATAAAGTCTTTAATGTATGAAGAAGTTATACAGAAATGTAGGAACCGTGGGGAGAAATGAAGACTCTTGGGGGGGGCAACATGAATTTGCTGGTCCCTTCTGCCTGAATTCCCTGTGAATCTTTATACACCTTCACCTAGCTTGTGATTCCTCACATCAAAACCACATACTTTGGTCACAGTGGGTCACAGGCAGAGGTGAAGCAAGACTTTCCTTGATTTCAAACCAGGGATGGGAGTGATCCAGTTTTCTTTCTTTGCTACAATTACTGATCATGAAATAGGGTCGGGGAACCTGGGGTGGGGGAGGGGAGGAAAGGGCTGATACCTGGCAGGTGGCGGCTAGAAGCGCACCCAAAGGAAGGGGAGAAGTGGATTATAAACAATAATTTAAACAGTAGATTGGGTAAGGGCCAGATTACAAAAGGAAAACTGACTCCAGATGTTGCCCAATGTCTCCTGGGGGTAAACTGCCCCCAGCTTAGAACCACTGTTCGAGATCTACATCCACATATGGTTTAAACATAATACAGTTTGATATTTGTCTTTAATCTGGTAATAGATAATCCAAAGGGGCTTCCAGTAAGAGATTTAGCAGTCAACCGCTCCAGCCCTGTGCTGACTAGGTTTTCTGAACTTAACATAAACTAGAGGCACCAGGAAGAGAGAACTTCAACTGAAGAACCATCTCCATCAGAAGGGCCTGTGGACTACCTCTGTGGCGTTTTCTTAATTGTTAACTGATGGAGGAGTGTCCAGCCCACTGTGGGCGGTGCCACCCCGGGGCAGGTGGTTCTGGGTTGTATGGGAAGGGTAGGTGAATGTGAGCTACTAAGTAGCCTTCCTCCATGGTCTCTGCCTTGAGTTGCTACTCAGGGCTTCCTTCAATGATGGACTGTAACCTGTTTTGATGAAACAAACCCTTTTCTCCCCAAGTTGCCTTTGGTCAGTGTATTATCACAGGAACAGGAAACCAAACTAAGACAAACCCAGTCACTTTGAAAAAAAAAAAAAAAAAAAAAAGTCCAGGTTCCTGTGGGGAGAGGTGGCTGGCCCTGGCCCAAGCTCACGGGAAGGTTGAGTGGCCCCAAAGGGATCTGAGCCTGGGTCTTTTAAGATGACATCCAGAGTTATGGTCATTGTACTTCACACCAGTGCTCATAAATTTGACTGTGTATTTCCTTCTCACAGGGACTGTTACATAAAGAGACGAGGCAGCATATTTAATATTTCTCTAAAGATCCTTGGCAAAAGAATCCCTTAGAACTCAAAGGGACCAAGCCCACCCACCTTCACCCAGCTCGTCCCCCACCCCAGCCTTGCCCAGTAGCAGTGAGACTGCAGATGCATGACAGAGATGAGCCCCAAGACTCCCCTCTCTGTGCAGCATACCCCACCCTCAGCCACCCAGCATGCCAGATCAGGTGCAAGGGCTTTGCGAGCGCGTTTGGTCTGCTGTGATTTCAGCCTGCACGGGGCTCTTGGCCTCACAGGAAGAATGCACACCCAAAGCCCCCATTCAGCCAGGGAAGGAGAGCTTCAGCAGCCCTGAGAGGTTTGCAGGTTGCTGAAAAAGGGTGTCTTCGGTAAACAAGTCGAGCAGGAAGCGGCAGTTAGTATGTACTCTAAGCAGGTCAAGAAGCAACATACTGACAACAGCCCATGGAGTTAGACAGGAGGACACTGAGTCACAGCCACAGACCTGGGGGTCAGGGTAGTTATCTGGGTAGAAGAGGGGGGGTGCTTCCCATGGCCTTCCACCCCAGCCTTCCTTAGGAGTGTTGCCCATGAGCCTGAGACTGTCCTAAATCTCTGTGGACTGGGGAGAGTCCCATTGGCAGGGCCTTTTGCTGCCTGTGCTCTGGGGTGAGATGTGGGTAGGGGGAATCTTCCTTTCTTTTCTGAGACAGCATCTTGCTGCATAGCCTTGGCTGGCCTTAGACTCTAGATCCTCCTGCTGCACCCTCTGAGAGTGGGAATTACGGGCATTTGCCACTTGGCTAAGTTTTCCTTCCATTTCAGTTGATGACTAGTAACTGTGCATATTTGTGGACTATTGTGAGGTTTCAATACATGTGTATCATATATAATAATCAACTCAGGATGCTTGGCATGCCCAGCACCTCACATAGTTTTCATTTCTTTGTGTTAGGAGTGCTTAAAGTTCTCTATTCTAGCCATTTTGAAATATACTATAAATTATTAACCATAGCTACCCTACTGTGCTATAGAACACTGTAGTCCTCCTAACTGTAATGTGCCCATTGACCAATGGAGATGAAAGCCATTTCTTATGCCGACAATGGAAAGGACACCCACAATGCACTTCCTGGCATAACACTGGATTGCCACTTAATTAGGAGTTTTGCCACCGTCACAAAAAGCACAAGCAGGCCACTTTACTTGACCAGGGCTGTTTTTTTAGAGTACTGTTGTTGGCTCATCCCGATACGTTGGGTACAAGAAAGACTGCGGCAAACATCACAGCCTAGACAGAAACAAAGTCCAGAGACGAAATGAGTGTTGTGGCTACAGGTGGGAAAGGAAGAATGCAAAGGAAATCAGCTGATGGGATAAGGACAGGGTCAGTGAGGTGCATAGAATCAAGCTGGGAAACGTTAAGACATGACGTGGACAGGGAGGGAGGTGGCAGTGACAGGAATTGTGCAGGAAAGAAGAAAATGATGGGCCCAGGATGGTGGTTACAACAGCTGGGCGCCTTCAGGAGACAGCAGGGGAAGAGGGCAGAGGGCAGAGGGGAGGGGAGTGTGCGAGCATGCCAAAGGATCGATTTATGTCACAGACACGTTCATCCTGACAAAACAAATAACGCTATTGTTATTGACAATTAAAGTGTGCTCCTTAGAACAGAAGCCGATTTGAAATTCTCTAGAGAAAACAGACTCAGGCTAGTGGCTGGGGAGCTGAGGGACAGGAACGTAGAGGCAGGAAGGGGAATGGTGATAGTGATTGGGAATAGGGCTGGTCTCTGTGTTCAGATAAAGGAGTGTCCTGTGGCTTTTAGACAAGAGCTGCTGGGCCAAAGCTGTGGCAGGACTTGAAGCCCAATGCCCCATGTGGTTGAGCCTCTGGTGTTTAAGGATGGGTCTCTCACACCCTGACACACCCCCTTTTCCACAGGTCCTTTTTCCAAACCTTTCTGTGACTCAAAGGAGGCTGGACTGCTGTGACATTTTATAAGATGTATTGGCAACTAAAAGATTACTGCTAAAATCTATCTGGTAATGTGGGGTGTCACATGAACTGTATGTGAATAAATCCTTTTTATTGCTTTCATTTGCTCACCAGTCAGGCATTGTCATGAGAGGACCCACAATAGAAGTGAGCAATTACTGAAAATTAGGCTGTTATAAGCTGCCCCCAAAGTTTATCTCCCCCACGAGCTCTGCCTTTGCACGTTTTAGTTATAGCTGGGGAGGAACGTGGAAATTGGTTCATGTACTGATGGCGTGTGTGTTGCTGGTGGCTATGAATGGAGCTACTGTTGCGACTGGAATGTGAGCTAAGAGGAACTATATTTTATTCATCCAGTTTGTGCTGTTTTGTTGTAATATGGAATGCTTGGGAAGGATGCTACAGGAATGCACATCCATATTTATGAGGCTGGATGCTGTGCTGTGGAAATGCCAAGCACATTGTATTATTCTGCAGCTTTTTGCACTGCCTGTGTCTAGAATTTCCCAGATTTTGTTTTTCTGCAATCATTCATTTTTTCAAACCATGTCTGTAAGAGCAAACAGCAGAGGGGGAAAAGGTGCTGTCTTCTTGAGCAAACTGCAGATACTCCCATCACAAAAAAGTGAATTCCTTTAAAAGAAAAAAAAGCATAGGGATTTAGACAACTGTTCTAGGAAGAGCTGGCCAAGAGCAGGTAGTTCTCTCGGTGGCTGTGTTAGATGTCAAAAATCCTCAAATGGAATTCTCAAGTGAAATCCAGTTCAGTAGGAGATATTAGCTATTAAGGATGGAGCCCCCCCCCCACACCTATGCCAAATAATCTGTGGTACATAAAATAACCTAGACATTTCCCAACCAAAGTGTGGTACAATTCTAGAAATCACCTGCAGGCATAGACAGGCTCCCCCGCAGGCTCCCCCTAGTTTCATCTGCAGTTGGTACATACTTCACAGCTGCGTCTGACCTTAAGTAGAGAGGCACCTTCTGATCTGAGCTTGTGTGTGGGGGAGCTATAGGTAATGTCAAAGTCATTGTAGTGCATAGACTTTACAGCCACCATGTGCAGCAGTGAGCAGTGGCTTTGTACAGACTCCAGCCTGTAAGACCTGGAGGACCCTTCAGGCTTGCCCATCGCATGTAGCCACTTGTTGTTCAAATGGGGAGAGCGAGAGTCACAGAGATTAAATAACTACTCAGCCCAAGGTCACACGGCCACATGGTGGCAGAAGGCCTGACACATACTTTTCATGGCTCTGTGTTCTGTCACTCACTCAAGTGATTCATCCTACTGGCTGTGGAGCGAATGACTTATGTACTGAGCCTTCAAAAGGGACACTATTGTTTTAATTCCTGTAAATGTTTATTAAAATTTGATGTCGCAGTGCACATTTTTATACTCGGAAAAATGTGCTCTTGCTCTTAAAAAAAAAGCTCAATAGTTTGCCACAGGGATTTTTGCCGTGATATAGTGACGCTATTCAAGACATGGAAGGGCAACTGGGCTGTATTCCGTTATCCCGTTAGTGGAGCGCCACAGCAGTTCCAGTTGCTATGACACATGTGACCACTAGGGGGAAACCTTTCCAAATACAAACACCTTTCCACCCGTGTTGGTGAGTTCTAAGTGAATGCTGGATGGTGTCTTAAACCATTTTCTTTTTCTTTCTTGGTTAAATGATAGTCTAGAGAAAATTCATTACAAAAGAATATTTAAATAGTTGTGGCTAGTCATCTAGCCATGACATTCACTGTCAAATAGTTGTTATCCATTCCTCTTCTCAAAAACAAAACAAACAAACAAAAGAACATAGATGTGTACACAATGACAATTCCAGACATAAAAACACACATGCCTCGGACACAGCTGAACCCTCTCATTCCATGCTGGAGTCTACGCGGAGGCAAGCGCGCTCTTGTATGCTGCTTACTGAGCATCAGCAGCCACATAACGTTGTCGTGGGAAAATGCAAAGCACTCATGCAAGTGTATGAAGTCACTAGATCTGGGGGACTTACCAGGAACATACTGCTTAGTCGACTGAAAAATAAAGCATAGTCTTTTGGGAGTGATTCAGTTAAACCTTAGGTCACTTAAAAAATAAAAATCCCCTTTGCTTTGACCATGGTCCCCATTTCCCACCTTGAAGAGCAAAGCCTTTGATATCCCCAAAGTCATCATTGTAGGGATCAAAGGAAGAATCCGAGTTGAGTAGCAGAAGCAAAATTCAGCAGACCTCATATGATGGAATGCTGTCCAAACAAGACACCATTCACACTCAATATTCATTTTCCTCTGCTTCCATCTCCTCCCCTGTTATGTAAATCGTACTGTCATTTCTGGAAAGCTGATGGTTTCACATTTTATTAATTATGAGATCAGATTATTTAAAACCATACCATATATATATATATATATATATATATATATATATATGTTTTTCGATAGAGGGTTTCTCTGTGTTGGACTCACAGAGATCCGCTTGCCTCTGCGACACCAAAGGCTGGCCTACCTTGTATAACTTGAGCTTCTATTTTTTCTCAATACTGCACAATTACATGCACTTTACAACCCTTAAACCCACTTTGTAGAGTGGGAGTGGTGTGTGGTAAATGTTATAGAGCAGATACTGTTGAAGGCTGCAGGCCATTATCTACCTTTCAAAGGATCTCTAAGCTCCTGTAAAATGCAGCTGTTTCATGGAGTGATTTCTGCACACCATTCCTTTTAGAAAAAAGGGATATGCTAGGCCAGGGGCTCAGAACTGGCCGAGGGAAGTGGGTCCAAGTTCTCCCTGGCTATTCCTGTCCTCCCTCTTCAACCTGTGAAAAGTGACAGCTTGCTTCATCAGGGTCTACAAGTGTAAGAGCACAGCCAACAGGAACAAAGAGAGGAGTCTCCATAGGAAGTGCTGGGATTTGCAAGCCAGGCTGGGCAGAATGTGGCCTTGGCCAGTGGTGGCTGTAGGCAAGCTTAGGTGTGGTCCCAGGGTGTTGGTTACTTCCTGCTTTATCAAATATCACCTTCCACTGACTGCATGAACACAGGCCATAAAATATATAGCCTGTGCTCAGTAGAAACAGGACCATGTGAAAAGAATAGGAAAGTTACCTTTGAGTGCAGCGATTCTTTATACCAATCATTTCTCATGTCATCATTGTTTTTTGCCTTGATTTTTTTCTTTTTAGTTTTTGGAGACAGGGTTTCTCTGTGTTGCTCTGGCTGTCCTGGAACTAGCTCCTCAGACCAAGCTGGTCTCGAACCACAGAGTTCTCTGTCTCTGCCTCTCAAGTGCTGGGATCAAAGGCATGCACCACCACGCCCAGCTCATTTTCTTATCATCCATCCACTGTTGTAGACTTACAGTCAGATGGGACTCCGGAACTCGGAGCCCTCTGTTCAAAGTCTAGAAACTCCCGGAGCACTCCCATCCCAGAGAAGTGCTTGCCTTGGCATTGCTTCCCGGTGGGGGAGAAGCTTCCAAGCAATGGGACCACCCTACGTAATGAGACTCCATGGTCATTGTTCCTTTTCCTTTTCCTTGGGCTCACTGTTTTAACCCTGTTTAATACAGTACTTTTTTTTTACTACATTTTTATTGTTAGGGAGTCACCAGCTGAGTCAACCTTAGGTAAGAAAACTGCCCCCCACTGCAGGTGACAGGCAGGGAGGGAGTTGGCAAGCTTCTTCCTAAGACAGGATGGCTGGAAGCCACATTTCCAGGCAGAGTAGTCTCGCCCCACCCCATCTATCTCATGCTGGAGACTCACACAATGGAAGGTGCACAAGGCAGACTCTGTTGATGGCAGCTCAGGTAACTTAATGGTTAGGAGCTTTTTCTCCACAAGCGAGCCTAGCAGCTTGTCTTAGGCACTTGTTCTCATGTTCAGTCAAACAGGAAATCAACAATTGAAGAGGGGAGAAGAAAAGCAGCGTGGGTGGGCACAGCAGTGTTAAGTGTGCCTCTCACAGGGGAACTGAGCCGATTCCAGAACTCAAAGCTTCTCCCCTGGACCACCCACCCCACTCCATCCTCAAGGACCAACCAAGGACTTCTCCACTTCCCTCCACAGAGGATGGGGGTGGGGGACTCCTCTGGCTCTGAGCTTCCAGTTGTCTAAAGCTGTCTTACCTGAAGAGTTTTGACTTTGCCCAGGATGTTGTCCTGTGACATTGCTTGAACTGTCTGCTCATTTTCTGCTCCCCCATCAGGGATAAAAATACTGTCATGGGAGAATGCCCGCGCTCCCATAGAATAGTTGAAGGACCTGGAATGCAAACCACGTGCTTCATTTTATTAGGATGATAAATGTCTTCTCCAGATTCAGTTTTCTGTTCTTCCTGACTCAAGGGGCTCTCTGCCCACATCTCTTTTTCAGAAAGTCCTTCAACACCACCGCCTTCCTGAAGAGGGTCAGACAGGGAGCAGGGGAGATGATAGGGACCCATGGGAATGGGGAATGTGGCTCTCTCACAATTTTTCTCAGTACCTCTCAGGGTGAGAACTTTGAAAGAGGTATTTATTTGTATCAAATTTTAACCAGAGGACCTGCCTGGATGAGCTGTCCCTATCAGCTTTGCTCTGGAAAAATCTTGCCAACTAGTATTGATGGAGTAACACACAGTTCTACAATAGATAAGTGTTTCTTTCACATCCAATCAGACTGCAGTGCTGACATAGAGCAAGGCTTTGGAAGAAGGGGCTATCAGTGCTTGAAGAATACAACCGAGGGCGAGAAATCCACGTTGGAGCCATTTTGATGCATTTTGTGAATACAGAACATGATGTACATTGGTAGTTTGTAGCAAACTGCTACGGTGTAGCTGTGGTTTGAATTCAAGGCTCCAAGTGTTGGAAGCTTTAAGGAGGTGGTTCACTGTGGGAATCAATCATCCTTGGAAGGAATTGATACAATTCTCATGAGAGAAGGAGTAATTCTCATGAATGTATAAGAAGAGTAGGCCCAGCCATTCCCCTTATGCTGGTGACTCTGTCCAGCTGACACATAATGTAAGAAGCAACCACTTCTGGTTATATCTATCTATCCTGCTTTGGTGCAATCCACATTGACATAATGTAACCAGGGGACCATGACCAGAGCCGACACCATGCTGTTTGGAGTTTCAGTCTCCCAAACTGAGCCAAACAAACTTTTTTTTTTTTCTGTTTTTTTTTTTTTTTTTTTTTTTTTTTTTTTTTGGTTTTTTGAGACAGGGTTTCTCTGTGGCTTTGGAGGCTGTCCTGGAACTAGCTCTTGTAGACCAGGCTGGTCTTGGACTCACAGAGATCTGCCTGCCTCTGCCTCCCGAGTGCTGAGATTAAAGGCTGCACCACTTCCGCCCTGTTCAAACAAACTTTTCTATATGTACTCAGGTATTTTATTATAGTAATGGACCACAGGGCTGGATGTAGTTCAGTCAGTAGAGGGCTCACGATGCACAAAGCCCTAGGCTTACTCTCTAGCATCAAAAAGAAGCAAGTAGACATTTTCCAGCTGAAGGGTTGCACCTGAAAGATGTCTGAACATCTACCTGATGAGAGGCATGAACAGTGAGAAACTCAGGGGAAGGAAGCTGCAGGACATAACCATTCCTTACACAGCAGCTTGCCCTTCCTATGGTAAGGAGACACAGTCAGGTCTCAAGGCCAAGGGAGCACAACTCTTCCTCTCTCCCAAGAGAGGAGCCTTAATGGGAGGCTTCCCCGAGACCAAGTGCAGGAAAGCATAGGGCGAAGGTCCCCTCTGCTGGTTCCTCCATATTGGACTGTAGCTGGACTGTTCATCTACCCATGTCCAGATGGATTGGGAAGACTGATTCAATTATGGCATTTTATGTACCAAATTGCAGCAAGCATGCTAAAGAACATCTAAGGTTTAGGACCAAAAGACTTGGGTGAGAGCCCGTGTGACCTTAGGTGTGAACAAGCAGCCATGCAACCTCTAGTGTGATGAAGCCTCACCAAAAGGTGTTAATTTCATTATCTTATTTAGTCCTTGCCACTCTCATCTTATTAGAGATGATGCTTGGAGTGGGAGAGGGGGTAGTAAGTACCACATCTAAAGCCATCCAAGTTGAAGCAGTGGAGTGACCGGACCGATTGCAACCCCATGCCAGCCAGTTAACTTATCTTAGAGACAGTTTTAGAGTATGTTCACCCCAGAAGGACAGAGAGTTTGGGAAAACAGGAGACACATGCCAGGAAGGCTGGTGTGTCAAAAGGCTGTAGAAAAACGGCTCTTCGTTCAGGAGAATTGCAGGCCTCTTTAAGGCAGCAACTTGATTTGTGAACGACGATGCATTCTTGTTTTGGGAAATATGAAAGGAAATGAAATCTATCCCCATCTCCCAATCCTGAGAAATGGTGGTGTTATCCACATAGGTTAAAAAAATGAACTTCCAGTTTCATCCAATGACATCATGAAAAATGTTTTCAACCCATGGGTTCTAACTTTTCCATGTCTTCTGTCTTAAATTCAGACTTCTGGCTACAATGTGAGAAGAGTATTCATTTCTACATAGTCTGTGAAGATGCTTGTTTAAATCACTTTTTAGTGTGCATTGGTGCAGAGGTATGCGTGTGCACATGCAGAGGCGGGAAGTCAGCCGGCGGTGTTCCTCAGAAGCCATCCACCTGTGTTTTAGGGACAGGGTCTCTTACTGGGACCTCTAGCTTGCCCATTAGGTGAGGCTGGCTGGATAGCATACTCAGGGATCCTCCTGCCCGCGCCCCCCCCCCACTGATGGCCTGACCCATGCACACCTCTCAGCATGGCTTTTGACATGGCTGGTGGGTCCCAGACTCAGGTCCTCATGCATGCACGGTGAGCACTTACTGACTGAGCCATCTCCTCAGTCTGTCTACATCGTGCTTTTGCAAACAGTTACGTATTTACACAGGCTCTCAGATGTTCCTACAGATGTGTATGTGCCCACGCACAATTCCATGTTTGATGCTTATAAACATCCACTAATTTCTTACAGTTGTATGTGCAGAACATAACAAGGCCAAGCTAGATTCCATTCCAGCTGCCATGTCCATCTTAACTGAGTCATGAAGTTCTTAGCATATGTGTTCTTGTTATTTTGGGTATGCAGGCTAAGAACTGGCACTTGCTTGCTCCACTGTGTTGACCCCAGGTTTGATGTCCAAACACCCCTGCCTTTAGATGATTGCATTAAAAAACAGATAAAAAGGATAAAAATACTAGTTCTAAAAATTATAACAATTTTAAGAAGTACAGTGCTAATAGTAATTCTAGATAAATACAGTAAGACATCGCGTGTGTGTGTGTGTGTGTGTGTGTGTGTGTGTGTGTGTAGTTAAGTACAATAAGACATAGTGTATGTGTGTGTGCATGTGTAGCTAAATACAGTAAGACACTATATATGTGTGTGTGTTTGTGTATGTGTGCGAGTGTATATGTGTACCTCTTTACTATAATATCTAAAGCCTCCTGCTGTAATACTGAAAACCTATGTGTAGGAACTGGTAACAGGCCTGCTCTTCAGATGGAAAACTAAAGCTCAAAGGCCTTGGATGACAGGGACTGGGTGTGATTCTAACCCTGGCCTCTGCTCCTTTGGTCTGCTTGTCTGCTTTCACAGTCAGAAATAAGCCCACATTGACTGGATACGGTGACACATGTCAGTAAGCTCACACTGGCCTGGTATGGTGACACAAGTCAGTGAGCCCACACTGGCCAGGTATGGTGGCACATGTCAGTGAGCCCACACTGGCCAGGTATGGTGGCACATGTCAGTAAACCTAGAACTCAGGAGACACGGGCAGAAGGACTTTCATAGTTATGAATTGGGGCTACATATTGCAACCCTGCCTCAAAAACACAACAAGAAACACAAAACTCCACAACAATCAAACAAAACCATGAAACAAAACAGAAATAAGCCTATGCCCATTCTGTCTTGTTTCCTAAGTTTTAATATCTAATTTGCATTTCTACATAAATTCGATCCTATCTTCCCTATTCTCTTCCTCCCACATCTCATCTCTGTCTGTCTGTCTGTCTATGTTCCTGCCATTACTTTCACAATGGGGTTAGATCTACAGATGTATCTAGGACTGATGTCTTTTCAATACTTTAATCTGTTAATCTAGAACTCGGGATGTCTATGTGCTAAGATCATCTTTTGTTTCAGTAATGTTTTAGTACTTTTTTGAGTAGAGGTCCTGAGCATATCCTGATAGATTTATTCCTAAATATCTGTTGGGTTTGAATTTTTCATAAATGGCATTAAAAATCTTTATTTTCTGTTTTCTCACTGGTGGAATATAAGATAAGATTGTTCTTTAAAATACTGGCCTTATAAACAGAGACTTTGTTAGGGTTGTTTAATAACTATAACAATATGATTGCTGAGTCCTTGTATTTCCTATCCAAAATACAATTAGGTTCTCTACCACAAAACGTCATTTTTACCTCAAGCTTTTCTTACCTCCTTGCTTTTCCCTTTCCATACTGAGTCAGCTAAATTCTTTTGTTGACAAAAGTCACTAGAAGTGGTGATGGCAGGTCTTGTGATGCTCCAAATCCAAAGAGAAAACATTTCACTATTTTAAAGTGTCTGGTACTGGCCAGAATTTTGATGGATACAGTTACTTGGCTGTTTCTTTGAAAAAAAAAATACATCATCTGATTTTTCCTTTCAGAAGATTAAAATTTTGTACCTCGTTTGCTTTTTGGCAGTTTGACTCTGGCATAGGCAGGTGTGAACTTTTTTCTGGTTTGGAGTACTGACTGCAGTGCCTCTTAAGTCTGTGTCTTGATGCCTTTCATCGTCGCCCAGCCCTGATTTCTCATGTTATCTCCACACATTTGTCCTCTCATACCTCTTCATTGGGCCAACACGAACCACTTGTCTTTTGTTCTCTTTTCCATATCTATCATTCTTTTCACACTAATCCATGTCTGCTGTGACTTGACCCAAACCTGCCTGATGGGCTCTGCTCCAGCTCCCTCTCCCTGATGTTGTCTAATATGATAGTAAATCAATTTGTTGAAGTTCTTAACTTTGGAATTATTTTTATCTCAAATAAACATTTATTTTTAATAGATCACAATTTCTCAACAAGATTATTTGCTTTGTCAACTGGATTCTCTGCCATGTCAACTATTTTCTTGAATGAACAAACAACAATAATTTAAACATGTCTGAGACTCCAGTATCTTAGCCTCCCAGGCCCTATTGCTCCTCTTGTTTTCCCTGTAGAGTGTTTCTGAGATGCCTGGGAATACTG